TGCTCTCTGTGACTAATCACTTCCTGTGTGACGTGTTTCTGCCGCCTACGCTCTTAAAGTCCGACGTATGCATCCCTGTCTTGCATTAGAGCTGTCGTCAGTACGCCCCCGCAGTCCGTTGTTTACGCTGCTAGCAGACCAACGCACGCACTGAACGTGGGATGCTATGCGCGTGAAAGAAGTGCACACTGGTCTACCGATGACGGTCATCCCGCGCGTCTGTTTCATACTCTCCTTTTACTGTCTAAAAGGATCTGACACTTATCTCACAATTTGAATCGAGTCATTTCTACTACAGTCAGCATTTCATAAAAAATCAGACACTAGATGCACGTTGTTATTTTGCTATTTTCTGGATTATGTTTCCACTGATACAGAATAGTGGCAACATGAAACTGGGGCAGACGGTGAATACACTGACCGTTCTACTTTATAAAGCTTGCTCTCAGTGGTTTTCCAACAGTGACAATTTCCATTCGCTGGTACTTTAAAATTCTTAATTTCGTGATTCGAAATATTTGCACCGTTGGTGAGATGGAAAAAAACGGCATCCTTTTTCCAGATTCTTCGCTCGCGCGTTTAATACATTGCCTACTGGTGACAAAGATGGCCTAATAGCCCCTTAAAGCTACAGACCCCTTCTTTCCTGACAGTTATTTCATGGCATAAAGGTAAACTAGTTGTTTTTCCTGGACTTCCTGGTACTCAAAGGTAGAAGTGAATGCTAATTATTTCACTTAGAGATTCAATTAAGCGTAGGGGAATATGAGTACGGCAAAACTGCGTATGTTGTTCGTTGGCAGAATGAAATTTTTGGAATCTATAATGGGCATCCGTTATAAATGCTCCTAGCATGCTTTGTCCATAATGAGATGCGATCCGATACCCTAGGGCAGATGCGACGGCAGGCCTCACACGCACAGACTTTGGCAAAACGTTCCTGTTTCGGCAATTTTGGGGAAATGCTAATTAACATATAAGTGAATCCTGACGACGATGATTATCCAAAATCCGATCTTTGGTCATGCACAGCTACCTAATGCAGGAGAAGTTTTGCCTTCTGCGTGGGAGCAACCGTACCTGTCATCTGGTGGGGGATATATAGTTTGCCCTCCAGCTCTATGAAATAGACACCCCGACGCCTTTTTCGAATGTCTCAGAGAACCAAGCACGGCTGTTAAATTAAATAGGGCTTAACGTCGTCATTGATTCGTTACGACCTTCGCTGATCGACATTTCTAACCGACATAATTCCGTGTCGATGCGTGTTGTTTCTTTGGCCTCTTGCTGGAGCAAAATTAAGTGAACGAATATGCTAGAGCAATAGAACAGAGCAACGCCCGAAACCGGAATTCATCTACGCTGTTGACTGCTCTAATTTTGGCGTCCTAAGTTCA